AGGCGTCCAATTGGCAGAGGAGCGATGGCAGAAATGGCTGGAATCGGATCCTTTATTCGAAGCAGTTCAGCATCACTATTCCATAAGAGACGTGAGCAGTCGCCGACGCAGCATCTACTATGGCAGATGTCGAGAGAGCCTCCTGCGATTGGTGCCCGCCACGTATCGCGGTGCGATTCCGGAATTGTTGCCCATGCACGACATGTCCGCAGTGCTGGAGATGGGAATGGGGAATTTTGCTCTGAGCAGTCATAAGGGGCATCTTTATGTATTTGTTGAAAGATATTGAAGCCAGTTCGCTTTATTTGTGGCCCGTTCTTAATGATTTGTTCTGGCTCGCAGCTCGCAGACATCAGGAACACCTTGGAGGTCATGATGGGCTTCAGGCAGATTTACAGAGCAGCTGGCTTGGAGCTGTACCAAGACAAGATCCAACTGTCCAAGGAGATCACACACCATACGAATTTAGCCGTAGACTAGGACAGACTAGGACAGACTAGGACAAAGACGTCATTCAGACCTGCAAATCACTAGTATGACGATTGCGCACTTGTGGTTGGCTAGTTGCGGTGAGCACCCGACAAACTTGCATGTTCCAGAACTAAAAAACAGCTACAGAGGCCTTTCTGTCAAAGAATCTAGCCAAAGGGATTCAACAAGTAAATCTTGCGAATAACAACTGGATTGAGGCCCTGAATTGCATTTTGTCCCAAGCTGCTGAGATTCTGTTAGATGGCCATTAGTTGGCACAAGACTGCTAAGTGATGCTAAGTCGCTATGTGCTGTCAGGACTTCAGTCAACGTGGCTTTCGCATTCCCAAAGTGTTTTACGCCTCTTACAATGAAAACTTCGACGTGCGTCCAACTCTAGAGGCTCTCGAAGCAGAGGGGTTCTCGTATGTGGCCAAAGCTTCGCACCTGTGCTGTGCACAAGGCGTCTTTGTCATGGACAAAGGCTTTGATCGTTCCCCAGCTGAAATGTTTAAACGTCGTTTAAAGAGATTGACATTTTTTTTGTTCATGGCGCTTTTGCTTCAAGCATTCCAGAATATTCCGCTCGGCTGGATTCACGCTTCTGCAGGTTTGACTAATCAACGGGTCAGCTTGGATGAGATCCAACGACAACTTCAATATGCCTTCACCCATCCCTTTAGGGAAGACCAAGTGGATGCCAAATGTGGCGATTGGGGAACTGTAGAGGCTGGAAAAAGGCCTGGAGTCTTGGTGGAGGACATGTTGCCAGCCGCTGACATGTTTTTTCTCTGGGTGTGATAGCTTTGTTATTCCATTTTATCATTTGTGACTTTTTTTTATGCCACTTGACCTGGCAGTAGAATTCATAGAAAGATCCGCCACCTGCCTAGTTCATAGAGTTTTCATCCTTAAAAGCTTAATCTTTGCTTGCTGCTTGGTATAGATCAAATCAAAAGCTGATTTGGGCCCATGACTGGCAAGAAGCACGGGTGCTTAATACAATTATATACATTTAATATACATTTGGTCTAAGTGTGATTGATCAGCTTCTGACACCTTTATGAAAGCCAGCTGAAGGCTTGGGCTGAGTTCTTGTGGCCTGCCAAGTAAGTATTTGGGGATGTGGTCGGGGAGGGTTGCGGAAAATTGTTTTTTGATGTTTTTTGGAGGTGTGCCCTTTTGAGTCACTTTTCAGTAAGGTTTGGGGTGCAATAGTAATATTATAATAGTATATCATTTATATAATAGTAATAATAGCAATAATACTGATAATTGCAATGTTTTTTTGAAGGCGGATTATGCAAAACAGATTGAATACAAGTGTTTTGGAATGGTGTGGTATTTTTGGTTGTTATTTTAGATGTTAGACAAATGTGGCATTTACACATTCTTCTGACTGCTTCAACATGCTGTTCTGCAGCTGCACAAAAGACCTAAATAGCGTTGTTTTGGTGCTCTCAGCCGTGCTTTGGGTCGATCTTTGGCTAGTCTTGGGAATCACAAGTATGGAATGGAATGCTGGCAGATTGCACGAAACGCGGTAAACGCGAGTGTTTTATGCAGATGCCTTCGTATCAATGTGTTCAGGGTCAGTTTAGCCCTCGAAAATTCGGTCAATGTCTTGCATATGATATCATCAAATCATATCATTATTGTTTTTCGTCTCTGCGGTCTTTCTTGATTGCGCATTTCCTTTCTCTTGAGTCCTTTCCTGGAAAGGAGGGGCCGGGAACGTGAGGTTGTGCTGAGAGTGCTGAGAAGATTCAAAAACCAGTCTTCGCTCGACTGGCGTTCTTACACAGGAACAAAAGGAAAACTGGCGCTGGGGGTGGTCGGTTTGTAAGGTATTCTTGGAAGCTAATGCTTCAAAGACGGTGCGCGGTGTTTCGTTTCTTTCAGCAGCTTTCACATGAGGGCTGTAAGGACTGTAGGGGAAGTTCTGTCTTTCAACATTCTGCAGAAGTTCTGCGCGGCATTGTTGGCGTTTTTGGTCTATGATGTCGTTTGTCTTTTGGGACGTTGCCTTGGTTTCTCCTGAGCTCTGTTGCCTTGTTTTCTCCTGAGTCACGAAGATAATGTTACATTGCCAGGATACAAACAATTCTTTGTTTCGATCTGGGGCTGGCTTTCATCCCTCCCCTGTCTGGTGTTAGCAGGTTTCACAGCAAGAGTCGCACCTGCAAAATCCTGCAAGTAAAATCAACATATTTCGAGGAGCTGTTGCGACCATCGTTGCCAGCAAAATTTCTTGGTTTGACTCTTGGTGGCACACACTTCTATGAGGGTAGTACTGGGTATTACTGGGTTGAAGGTGCAAGCAGAATTAGGTTATCAGGCGACGCAATGATGCAATCGAAGGCGACTGCTTTGCAATCTGAACCATATTCGTTCCCGGGTCGCCGAGGGTTGGGTCAACAAACTGGATCACTCCGGACAACTTGGCATGCCATTTGGTCTGGTCCACCTTGCTCCAATGCCGGTGGGAAATCAAAGCCTCTAGGCTGCAACTAGCTGCAAAGAGTCAAATCTGTGGCCAAAGGTAATAGATCATCACATACCAGATTTCACAACGATTCAAGGTGCGGGCCATTTCTGGTGAGCCGCAGACAGAGCCCGGAACTGAATGAAACTGAGAGCTTCATGGAAAGTTATTTGAACATCGCGCCTCAGCTGTTGCAATCCCATCGTCTCACTTCTACCATGCTTATTCCTACCAAAGCCCTTGAGGTTGCTCGGGGTGATATTCAGAGATGGCTCTTGCTTGAGCTGTAGATATCCCCCTCCCTTCCACGATTGGGCTGCGGCAGTTCGAATGCTGGAATCCCTCTTGCCGCACACTGACTATGTCCCTTGGATGCTCTTTCAATCTTCACTTGTTCTTGAGGTTTGTACCATTTTCGATTCATTTTGTACCTCGGTTTTTACATTTTAGACTGTTTTGTCATCTATATACACCTGCGTTGAATCCGCACTTTACATACCAGCCGAACAGCTCCTTACAGGTACGAATTAGCCTCTTTGTGGACAAAGGCTGGCCAGTTGTGAACGAGGTTGAGTACACCTCAGGTGGCCTTGAAGTTGTCCCTGTGCCAATTGCACGTGAGTGGACTCTTCAGTGGCTGGAGGGCTACTACAATTTCTTGTCCTAAATGGCCTTTGGACACTTGGTGTCTCTTCATCAATCTTGGATTAGGTGCAGGTGCTGCGGTGGTGGAAGCTTTACAAGCCATTGCAGACCTGCGTGCTGAATTTCCTTGAAGTTTGCAAAAATGCGGGTTGCAAAAAGCGAAGGACTCTGCAGAGACGTGCGGCGGACACACATGCTCGGCTGAGAAATCACGAGTGAAGGTATGATTGGCATCATGTGACTGTTGTCTTAGGCCACTGTACTCCAGTGGAAGTAGTCCCGCTCGCGATGTGACGGATATTTCTGGTGTTGCTTGGATGCAAAACTACGAAGATTTTGATAGATTTTGTCGCCTTAATCAGCTCCCATATCCTAACGCCAATACGAGGACCGACCGCACCTGGAAGATGAGGCGGGAGGGAAGTCACGAAACTCAGAGGGCAAGAGTGTCGACCTTGCAGAAAGCACGCAAGGAGTGAAAAAAACGCACCAAAGTGCTTGACTAATCTTGACTAGATTTGACTACTATATACTAGCTAGTATATACTAGTATATTTCATGAATTTTCATGACGTTTCGTGACAGCCAGTAAGGGGCATTAACGGCATTAACTCTCTTACCTCCCTGCCAGATCTGCCAGGAGGATGGATTGTTGTGCGTGCCTCAGAGAAAGTCGGTGCTATGCAGAAAGCGGCTGGAGCTTTGACCGCAGAGCTTCAGCTGGAGTCCCCTAGCATGCTGAGCCTCTCATGTGAATGCTTTTACGCTGTATAAGTGTTTATCTGTGTTCACACACACATATATAATCATGTATATGCACATATATATATATATATAATATTTTTTGTTCACATTTTTTCCTTTATAGTAATACAGTAGTGATTATGATTATAGTGTATGTGCGTAGTATTTTCTAGTTGTCAATAGCTGATTCTAAATTAATTATTCGAGATCTGGATTTTTTAGGACTCTTTTTCAATGCCTCGTTGGCCAAGGTGCTGTCCAGACTTGGAGCTTCCTCAGCACGTCAAGGCCAAGTCCATCCCAATCCACATAGTAAGCTTTGCGAAGCTTCGCTGGTGCAGTTGGCTTTGCAACCCTCGTCACTCTTCAACCATTAGCGGGGGATGTATACTTCATTATACTTCTTTTCATATCTTATTTTTCAATATTTTTTCAATACTTTTTCAATTGCATACAGTAGCTGCGGCCAAGCCGCAGTGAGTGGCGAATGCGAAAGACTAAGACCGTCCTGATTGAAAATCAGGGTGGGAAGACCGCGGACGTTGTTATATTTGTCTGCCTACTGGTACGCCGTAGGAGATTTAAGATTCGTTCATGACTTTCAGTGATTTCCTGGGTTGTTCGAGCAACTTGGCAGGCTGACTTGGACTCCCTTCCAGGACGCTGTCGCATTTGCAAGCCATTTGCAAAATTGACCATAAACATCGAAGAGGACATGTGATACGCAGGTGCCAGCATGTAAATGGGATGGCAAGACAGGAACACACGCAGAGACGTATTCAGTATAATAGACATTTCATTCTTTTCATGGATAAATGGTAATGTAATGACCATTAACGACCCCCTGCGACGTCACTGGAATGATGGTTAGGAAGGGGTAACTATCCCAAAATAGCTTCTTTCAGGTTTGAAATATGATGGTTTACTCTTAATATATATATATATATGTATGTATGTAATGTAATGTAATGTAATGTAGTGTAATGTAATGTAATGTACTGTAATGTAATGTAATGTAATGTATGTATGTCTATGTATGTATGTCTATGTATGTATGTCTATGTATGTATGTCAATGTATGTATGTCAATGTATGTATGTCAATGTATGTATGTCAATGTATGTATGTCAATGTATGTATGTCAATGTATGTATGTCAATGTATGTATGTCAATGTATGTCAATGTATGTCAATGTATGTATGTCAATGTATGTATGTCAATGTATGTCAATGTATGTATGTCAATGTATGTATGTCAATGTATGTCAATGTATGTATGTCCATGTATGTATGTCGATGTATGTATGTCGATGTATGTATGTCAATGTATGTCAATGTATGTCAATGTATGTCAATGTATGTCAATGTATGTCAATGTATGTCAATGTATGTCAATGTATGTCAATGTATGTCAATGTATGTCAATGTATGTCAATGCATGTCAATGTATGTCAATGTATGTCAATGTATGTCAATGTATGTCAATGTATGTCAATGTATGTCAATGTATGTCAATGTATGTCAATGTGTGTCAATGTGTGTCAATGTGTGTCAATGTGTGTCAATGTGTGTCAATGTATGTCAATGTATGTCAATGTATGTCAATGTAAGTCAATGTATGTCAATGTATGTCAATGTATGTCAATGTATGTCAATGTATGTCAATGTATGTCAATGTATGTCAATGTATGTCAATGTATGTCAATGTGTGTCAATGTGTGTCAATGTATGTCAATGTATGTCAATGTATGTCAATGTATGTCAATGTATGTCAATGTATGTCAATGTATGTCAATGTATGTCAATGTATGTCAATGTATGTCAATGTATGTATGTGTGTATGTATGTATGTATGTATGTATGTATGTATGTATGTAAATTATGGGCACTTGGCACAAGCTTTAGCTTTGCTTTGCCACCACATCAGCATAACAGCTGTACTGCCAGCCCCACCAGAGATTTCATTTTGTTTGACATTTTCTCTCCTAACCTTGATACTTTCCATCTTGCCAAATGTTGACTAGGGCAGTGCCCATTGTTGTGTTTGCCACCTTTTTCACTTTCTTATAAAGCAATTTCACTATAACGCAATTTAGCCATGGATGCGAAGACTGCTGATTCACAAGAACCTCCACCTGGACAAGATCCTCCTCAAGGTCATGAACCAACTACATCCACTCCCACACCGTCAGACCTATCACCTGAGGACTTAGAGCTAACTCAACGACATGGACAAACCCGAAGAAATCCATCTCCTCCAAAGAAAGCTGGAACTGAACCAGGTTGGGAAGAACTTCTTGACTCCCTCTCAGCAAAGGACATTGAGATCTCAGGTTTGGACTATGCTCCCCAGCAAGAACTTCGATCATCTCCACAGGCAAGGGTTGACTTCTTAGCCTCCAACCTCACCACTCCGGAAGCACTACACTTTGACCCAGAGCAGGGCAACCTCAACGAGGCGACCTTTCACTGACACCCAACCACTTGAACCTCCAACATTTAAAGTCCAGGAAGGTCAGTTCAAAGATGCTATCCTTCAGCACCACCAGACCACATGTCTCCCCAATCATCCACTGTTGATGCAGGCGTGCAAGCAATTTTACCCAAATTCAGTCCTCGAGCAATACTACATCCAAATCCAGATTGTCACAATCGATAGCAGACTCAAGACTTTGGCATTTCACTCTCATTTGCTGGAGTGCACACTCCTCGTCATTCTGTACTGAAGGAGCAGTGGCAATTTGCACTTACTGTTCCCACGGGACCGAAAGCCGCGGTTTGTAAAGCAATGGCTTATATAACGGAATTTGGACCACCACACTAGACTTTAGACTCCACGCATTGCACTCTACACTTCACACTCCACACTCTACACTCCACACTCCACACTCCACACTTTACACTCCACACTCCAAACTCTACAGTCTACACTTTACACTCCACACTCCACACTTTACACTTTACACTCTACACTTTACACGCCACACTCAGCACTTTACACTCTACACTTCACACTTTCACTCCACACTCTACACTCTACACTTTACACTCCACACTCTAAACTTTACACTTTGCACTCCGCACTTTACACTTTACAATCCACACTCTACACTTTACACTTTACACTCTACACTCCCCACTCCACACTTCACACTCCACACTCTACACTTCACACTCCACACTTCACACTTTACACTCTACACTTTACACTTTACACTTAGCGCACTTTGCGCTCGACACTCTATACTCCACACTCTACACTCCACACTACACTTTACACTCCGCACTTTACATTGCACTTTACACTACGCTTTACACTCCACACTTTACACTCCACACTCTACACTCCACACTTTATGCTCTTATCTTTACACTCCACACTCTACACTCCACACTCCGCTTTTTACACTTTACACTTTCCACTCCACACTGCGCACTTTGCACCCCACACTCCCACTTTACACCCCACACTCCACACATTACACTCTACGCTCCGCACTCTTCACATTAAACTCCAGACTCCAAACTTTACACTTACACTTTACACACTTTACACTCCACACTTTATACTCAACACGTTACACTGCACACTCTACACTCTACACTGCACACTTCACACTCTACACTCTACACTCCACACTTTACACTTTACACTTTGCACTTTGCACTTTACACTTTACACTCCACACTTTACACTCCACACTTTACACTCCACACTTTACACTCCACACTTTACACTCAACCCTTTACACTGCACACTCTACACTCCACACTCTACACTCCACACTTCACACTCCATACTCTACACTTTACACTCCACACTCCACACCTTTACACTTTACACTCCACACTTTACACTCCACACTTTACATTCTACACTTTACACTCCACACTCTACACTCCACACTCTACAGTCCACACTCCACAGTTTACACTTTACACTCCACACTCCACACTTTGCACCCCACCCTCTGCCGTATCCCGCAGTCTAGTGGTACGGTCACAGGGAAAAAATGTACAAGACTGTTCATATAACTTGTTTCGCAAAAGTGTTCTACGTGACTGCATTCGGGTTCGTGGGCTGCATCTTGTTGAAATTCATCTGCAAGCGAGAGATAAGTGGTCACGAACCCTGCTGTGCGTCACGGGACCGACCTCCTCCTGGATATTGTCTCCTTTTTCTTCTTTTTATCCTTTCTTCGGTGGTTTGGGTTTCACCTTGCCCGGTCCCGTGTAGAAAGTGCTGGTTAGTAGCTTGTCCTTCAGCCAACAGATTCTCCTGTATTATTCACTTTCTCTTTCTCCATTTTGTTTCTCCAAAAGCTGATGGAAAGCTGCTGCTGACGCGTAGTTCGACATGAACTGCATAGCGCTTTTGAAAAAATGCATATATAAATATACATACATATAAAATAGACGCATACATGCAATATACGTGTATATGTGTATATGTGAAAATATATGTAAATAAACATATATATATATGTACATATACGTACAAGTTTACACCTGTATATGTGCATCTGTGTATGTATGTACAATAAATGTATAGTGTTTGTCTAACATATGTATCTATGTATGTATGTATGTAGGTAGGTATGTAATGTATGTATGTATGTATGTAATGTATGTATGTATGTATGTATGTATGTATGTATGTATGTAATTGAATGTATGTATGTATGTATGTATGTAATTAATGTATGTGTGTATGTATGTATGTATGTATGTATGTATGTATGTATGTATGTATATATGTATGTATGTATGTATGTCTGTATGTATGTATGTATGTATGTATGTATGTATGTATGTATGTATGTATGTATGTATTATGTATGTAATGTAATGTATTGTAATGTAATGTAATTAATGTAATGTAATGTAATGTAATGTAATGTATGTATGTATGTATGTATGTATTATGTATGTAATGTATGTATGTAATGTATGTAATGTATGTGATGTATGTATGTGATGTATGTATGTAATGTATGTATGTATGTATGTACGTATGTAATGTAATGTAATGTAATGCAATGTAATGTCATGTAATGTAATGTAATGTAATGTATGTATGTATGTATGTATGTATTTATGTGTGTGTATGTATGTATGTGTGTATGCATGTATGTATGTTTGCATGGATGTATGTATGTATGCATGCATGTATGTATGTAATGTATGTAATTGAATGTATGTATGTATGTATGCATGTATGTATGTATGTATGCATGCATGCATGCATGAATGCTATGTATGCAATGTATGTATGTATGTAGGTAGGTAGGTATGTATGTATGTATGTATGTTTGTGTTGTATTGTATTTTATTGCATTGTATTGTATTGTATTGGATTGTATTGTATTGTGTTGTATTGGATTGTATTTTTCGTGTTGTATTGTGTTGTATTGGATTGTATTTTTTGTGTTGTATTGTATTGTTTTGATGTATGTATGTATGTATGTATGTATTTATGTGTGTGTGTGTATGTATGTATGTATGTGTGTATGCATGTATGTTTGCATGGATGGATGTATGTATGTATGTATGTATGCATGTATGTATGTATGTAATGTATGTAATTGAATGTATGTATGTATGTATGTATGCATGTATGTATGTATGTATGGTATGGTATGGTATTGTATTGTATTGTATTGTATCGTAGTAAATTGTATTGTTTTGTTTTGTATTGTATGTAGGTATGTATGTAATTAATGTATGTGTGTATGTATGTATGTATGTATGTATTGAATGTAATGTAATGTATTGTAATGTAATGTATGTATGTATGTATGTATGTAATGTATGTATGTATGTAATGTAATGTATGTATGTCTGTATGTCTGTATGTCTGTATGTATGTAATGTATGTAAGTATGTATGTATGTATGTATGTATGTATGTATGTATTTATGTGTGTATGTATGTATGTATGTATGTATGTATATGTATGTATGTATGTATGTATGTATGTATGTATGTATGTGTGCATGTATGTATGTATGCATGGATGTATATAAATATGTATGCATGGATGTATGTATGTATGTAATTGTATGTAATTGTATGTAATTGTATGTACTTGTATGTACTTGTATGTAATTGTATGTATGTATGTATGTATGTAATGTAATGTAAGTATGTATGTATGTATGTATGTATGTATGTATGTATGTATGTATGTATGTATGTATGTATTTATGTGTGTGTATGTATGTATGTATGTATGTATATAAATATGCATGTATGTATCTATATGTATGTATATATATATGTGTGTGTTTGTGTGTATATAGGATATTTGCATATTGAAATCAATCACATGTTCTTGCGCGCATGACACCAATGACATCCTTGACATCCAATGGCATCCATCCACCAATCCATCCATGTAATACACATGTTTTGAAGGTGTGCTTTGCTCCATGTCGTTGATATTGTTGGAATGGTCTTGCAGGAACTTCCCGGAGATGCAAACTCCACTGCTTATGCTTCTTCACGTGTCCATGCCTGTGATTTGCTGCCAAGTGCTGCGGCTGGATTTTTATTCGCGGCGAAAAGGCTGCTTTTGCTGGTTGTCTCCCGCACTACAGCGAGTGTCTCCCGTACTCTTGAGGTGCCATTTTCCTAACTATAGCAGCGGGGTCCTGAGCAGCGACAGTGCAGCATACGAGATTAGCACTGTGAAGTCATTGGCAGCTTTCCATGAGCTAGGTGGGAGTTATCTTCCTTGAAAGCATCACCAAGAAAAAGATGCAAGATACCCGCCCAGAGGCCAGGCAAAGAACGCATGGAGATGCTGTGATTTTGAAGCATAGAATCATTGCATGATGTTAGGACATGTTTTGTAGGCAATGTAATGTATATAATGGGTCAATGTAAATGCTAATGTTGAGTTTGATGTTCATGTTCGGGCTAGTGACTAATGTTCACCACATTTAACCACAATGTTAATGACACTTAATGTTGTTAATGACAATGTGAATGGCGATGCCAATGACAATGTAATGCAGCGTGTGTACCGGAATTTAATGCAATCCAATATAACGATAGCAATATAATGGAATGGATGTGCACGACTACATGCATGTATACATAGATTGGATACATAGATACATAGATACATAGATACATAGATACATAGATACATAGATACATAGATACATAGATACATAGATACATAGATGCATAGCATAGATACATAGATACATAGATACATAGATACATAGATACATAGATACATAGATACATAGATACATAGATACATAGATACATACATACATTACGTTACATTGCAATGCAATACAATAGAAATCAATACATAACAATGAAACAACATCAATACATTACAATACATTACATTGCACACATTGCACGCGTTGCACACATTGCTCACATTATAGTACACACATTACACACACATAATCACACATACACACATACACCCCATAACACAGGGCAACACGGCGTAATATCACAGAACTTGAGCATGTATACACACACACCATACATACATACACATTACATTGCGTTACGTTGCTTTGCATTACATTGCATTACATTGCATGACATTGCTTGACCTTGCGTGACATTGCATTACATTGCATTACATTGCATTACATTGCATTACGTTGCATTACGTTGCATTACACTACGTACGACGCATACGCATTCACAAACACATGCGCATATACATAAACGTACGCATTCACATATACATCTACATACATGCACATACATGCACATACATGCACATACATCCACATACATGTTACATGTTACATGGTACATGGCACATGGTACATGTTACATGTTGCAGACGGATACATATACATGTTACATATACATTGCACACACACACGCATATGTACATATATATGTATGTATAACTATACGCATATTCTTAATATAGATGTACATGTGGATATTCCTCCATCGATCCATGCATGCAGCATGCAGCATTGATTGCATTCAGACACGCGCGCACATGACATGTATTTTCAACGCGTTCAATCAGTTCAGCCCTGATAGCGGGGTGCAGTTCTGCTTGGCTCGCTATCAATCCCCTTCAGGAGAGGAAAAAGTGGCTTGACACAGGCTGGCAGCAAGTTTGGAGCATTGCACGGAGTAGTAGCTGTTCAGCTTGACTCAACATCGAATGCGTTGCATCTGACAGTCGGACAGTCAGAGACATTATGTGACTAGGTACAGCTGCAGTTGTTGCATTTTGCAATTTATTTTCTGTTAGCTATTTGGCTTGGTGCATGTTTGTGGCGCTCTGAACTTTGGTGAGACCTTGGCACATGACGATCGAAAGCGAAGCTCCATGTGTTGCACCTTGCACTCCAAGGCGGCAAAAGGACAAAGGAGAACATGGAGAAATGGGAGAACGTGGAGAACATGTGAATCACCCAGAAACGAATCCACGTTCACCACTTCTCTTCATCCCTTCACCTGCAAGAGCTCGTACCCCAAAAACTTCGCAAACACCTGAAGTTCGAGATCTTCAAAGTGCTTCGACAGTGAAGGACAGTGACCCCTGTGATGAGCGCCTTTCCAAGCTGTCGAAGTTGCCACAGCTCTCCAGGCTCAATGCCAACGCTCAGGAGTTTATTCCTGCGGCACACGTCCCAACAGCCTTGCGTGTTCGGGAGGAGTCCAATTTGAAAGAACCACCGGTGATCTCAGTCAGGAAGATGGCCAGCAAGGGCTGCGCCATTGTACTTCTTCGCAGTGAACATGTCATTGAATTGGCTGCTCGGATGGCCGTGGCTGTGATTGATGGTGTTTGTGTGGAACTTCGGCGTCACAGCCGGCGTTCCAAACGAGATCAGGATGCCTTGGAACTGGGGATTTTTGTGGCTTGGGGTCATCGAGTGGAACGCCGAGCCACCGTGAGTGAGGAAGCCTTGGAGGCTTATATCAACGGCCTTTCGCAGGTTTCTGATCCCCAAGCCTTGAGTTATCAGCCTCCTTTCCAGGAGTCTTTACTTCTTTTTCCCTTGTCGTCGTCCATGTCGTGCATGTCTCTGAAGATCATGGCCCCCCAACTTGCTGAAGCAACTGGCCAAGTGCTCTTGGATGGACCGCACGGTCGCAGAGATTTGGTCCAGACGCTTTGGGATGCCAAGTTGCAGCTAGACGAGCTCTGGAACAAACCACCGCCGCCGAAGGCTAGGTCCGTGATGCAGCGAGTGGCAAGAGATCAGCTCTTCCCTCATTCTGGAAAAGAAGGCAAGGAAGGAAAAGAGGGATCGCATGAGAATCGAGCAGGAGAGAAGTTGGAGGAACTAGCACAAGCAGTTGGCCTTTTAGATGGGATGCAACCAGGTGTTGTAGGTGCTCGCTTTCTAGATCTCTGTGGTGGGCCAGGTGCATGGTCGCAGTATCTGTTGCAGATGAACTTCCAAGGTTTTGGTTTCACCTTGAGAAGTGGAGCTGGAAGTGAGGACGATTGGCAGGCAGAGCAGAAGGACGATTGGTATCCCGAGCTCTTGCGACACCCCAATTGGCATGCGATTTGGGGCGCTGATGGAACTGGTGATCTCCTGAAGCCTGAAAATCTGCAGCATGCATCACAGATTCTTCGCGCTGCCGGTGGTGTGTCCATTTGTGTGGCTGATGGTGGCTTCAGTGACAAGGCCATCCCTCCAAACCTTCTGGAGCTCTACTTCTTTCGCCTCTTCCTGGCAGAGGTATTGACAGCAGCCAACTGTTTGCTTCCAGGTGGCCGCTTCGTTTGCAAGTTGTATAGCACTTTCTCTGCCTCGACCTCGGCACTTCTATTTCTGATCACTCGTCTATTTGAAGATGTCCGCATAGTCAAGCCCATGTCCTCGCGTGTTGCGGGGCCGGAGAGATACCTCTATGCCAGTGGCTTCCGAGCCAACGAAGAAGCTGAGGTCATCAAAAGGTCCTTATGGTCATGCCATGTTTATGGTGCTGGTAGGAGCCCCTTGCAGCTCCCCCTTTTGACACCCTTGGTGGTTGACTTGCACAAGGATGCCGCCTTCCTACCCCAGCTGCAACACATGGTGGTCACGCTTTGCATGCGTCAGGCGAGAATTGTGCGTTGCAAGTGAAAAGATGTGACAAGCAATCAAGGTCAGCAGTGAAACAAAGCGGCACAGGCAGCCCTTTCCTTCAACGGTTGAGTTGGATTCAGATGGATTATACAAGATTATTAAATATCAATATTATTATATGTGATCACTGTGATTGTATCAAATTCCTGATTTCATTTGGGATTTCAATGGGTTTGACAATGCAGGCTGGAGCTTTGCGAGCCATCCGTGAGAGGGCAGAGGAGCTTGAAGAGATGGCATTGGATGTGGCAGAAGAAGCTCAGGCGGGTGCAGAGCTTTGGGCCGAAGCAGCCAAGAAACAACGAGATGAACGTGCTGAACGAGATGGAGCTAAAGAAAGGGAGAGGTCGGAGAGGTTCGAGGATAGGTTCGAGAAGTTGCCAAACTTCTCGAAGCCGCCTTTGGGTCGTCCGACTTGGAAGCGACCTCAAGTGACGCAGTGCAAGCGAAGGCAGTCAGGCCTTTTGAGCGCCGAATTCAATCGTTGGCGATAGCAATTCAGTGCATGCTAGTTTTTTTTCTTGTGCCGTGGCTATGATGAGGTCATGCGAGCCTTTCTTAAACAGGGTAAAACAAGTCAAGCCCATATCATAGGCCCATATCAGTAAGGGAACATGAACAGCTCGCGTGGTGCTTTATACGACGAAAAGAGCCATGGCCACTACCTGCATTCTTGCCAAATGAAATGCCAATGCCCTTGGGAGCATGCCATGCTCCGTTGCTAAATGCCAAATCACAAACACTTGCGCAGTTTTTTGATCCACTGTGGAGATTTCAAATCGTTCCCGCCTTGAACTGCAGCGCAAGTTTTTAGTCTATCTTTTGGTTAATTACATTTGGCTGCTTACACATGATCCTCATGTTTAGCTTTCGCTGCAGCTCTGCTACATGCATTGCTTCCGATAACAATTCGAAGGAAGCTTTGCGCTTGGTGCAAGCCAAGTCATTTGCACAATGACGCCCTTGGGCTGCTTGGAATGTTGAAAATGAGCGCACAGAGCATACACTGCGGGCGCTTTTGACTCAGGTTGTCAGAGTATGATAAACAGTAGCTCCGTGGCAAAACTGGTTGGCGGTTATGTGCATCTTTGATCTAATGATTTTACTTATCTATGCTCTCCTCTGTCTATCTGCCTAGGACCCAGCATACCTAGCTATTTTCCAGATTACCTACCTCCCTAGGTACCTATCCACTACATATGAGGTTCGGTAGTCGTTATCACTATGAAGAACAAGCATGCGCCTCCAAAGAGACAACACATTCACCAGGTGGCCAGGTGCTTTTTCAGTTTCAATGTGCCTCAATGTCATTGTTTTTTGGAAATGAATGCGCTGGACTACGGAGCCCAGCCTAATTACGACTTACGGCCGTTTTTATATGAGCATATTTAGGCAGGACGACATATCTACTCCTAAGCCCTGTCTACCTACCTGCGGTTACCTTCCTACCTACTCATCTATCTACATCTACCCATCTACCCATCTACCCATCTACCCATCTACCCATCTACCCATCTATCTCTCTCTCTCTCTCCCCATCACTTTTCCGTCCCTGCTGGCACATGGGATGATGTTCCCCAATATTTTGGGTGGGGAGACGTGGGGAGAACTGGAGAACCCGAATGTGTGACACTTGTGCAGCCAGATGCCGATGCCGGAGGCAGTGCAGTCGGTCTACCTCCTGGTTTTTGCGCCGAGCACGCGATGCCAGTCCCAGATGTCCCTTCGTTTCAAGTCCACCTGGCGAATGGGCCATGGCAAGCCCTAAAACATAGCCATACCATATCTATCCATATTCTTCAAGTTTCAGAATGTGTTTTTATTTGGCGCACGTTTTATTTAGGCCAGACTTATACCTTTTTTGTCACTTTGCTGTTGCTGCGTTGAGTCAACGCTCGGTAGATACGTGCACTCACCGATAGTAGTCCGGCTGAACAATGGACATATCAGTGAAATCTGCAGTATTTAATTTCTGCAGGTCCGTCGGCAACATGGACTGGCCACTTTGTAGCTGTCTCTCTGTCAAAAACCTGGACACTGCAGTTGCCAGGGCTTTGTTCATCGCTTCAGGGTAAATCTTCGCCCTGGCGGTAGCGAACGAGCCGTCTGGCTGAATTCCTTGCAAAGGCTTGTGGTTGGTGAAATGTGAACATCTCCCTCTGCGACCCATTGTCATCGTCACATCCTTGAATGTGTGTAGGCGCACCAGCATAAGGGTCGTCGGTTTAGTGGCGTCAAGGCCAAATATGCATTGATCAAAAGAGCAAATCTGGACACACTCAAGTCTTGCTAATGTTCTCAATGCCGACAGCATCCAAATCGATGCTGGTCTGACCTTCATCAGCCACAGAGGAAATTGAGGATGTTCAAGGAAGCCGCACAGACCGATCTGCACTGCCACAACCAAGAGGTCGATCAAGAACTGGACCAACTTGGTGCCTGTTGACACCTGATCCCACTGTCTGCCAGTGAGGCCGGCAATGCCCCATGGCGAATCATAGGATCGTAGCGGCATAGGGCCGTTAGGCATATGGCGTGCTGCCGACCAGGTTTCACAACTTGGTCCGCCTCCAACACCTATAACTTGCCCTTGTCTCATCTTTTGAATCCAGAACTCTTTTGTATCCGAATCTGTCAAGTCAGAAAACTCTTTCGCCAGACACAAATCGACTGATATACAGAAGATCTGGTGATTGCCGACGATCTCATGATTCTCGATACAATGTTGCAAATCTCCTCTCCTTCGAAACCCGCTGAAAAAATGCACGAAAATAAAGCAGGTAATATGCAATCTTGCGGCCTCTGCGGCTAGACCGAAATGCATGTAGATCCCTGCTTCTCCTTGCACTTTCCCACCATTGGACTGCAGGAGAAATGGCAAAATCTCGACCTTCTCCTCTGTATCCTCATCAAAGTGTTCACAATAGCCATCTAGTCCTTCATAGGCTCGACCAGTATTTGGAATACGGGCGCTCCATCTGCTTTTCATGATGGTGGCTCCCTCTGTACCACTTCCGGGTAAGAGGGGCCCATAAACACGAGTGACTGGGAGGAAGGCCTTAGAGGCTGACCATCCTTGAGCTTTAAGAATTCGGGCTTGTTCTCTTTCCTCTTCTTCAATCTGTTCAACGCAATCCCCTGTAGCTGGCACAAGACATGCCATATAGCTGTCTTTGCATTGCTGTGAAGCACCCACATGTGCAAGCAGCCGAGGACGATTGAAGAATTTCTTTCCACATGCCAGACATTCATCCCCTAGGACGTAGTACTTCAGCATTGTTCGATATTGATGTTTATGTCTCGCATGAACTGCCAGTGCTTTCTTTGAATCAAAATTTGCGTCACATAGATTGCATCTCCATCATTTCGCATTGCTGACCTGCATCATGTCTGGCATAATGGCAAACTTGGATACCTGCCTTTGCAGTCTCTGGGTCCAAAGTTTGCCTTTTGCATTGGCAGACATAAAGCGTTTGCATGACTTGAGAGCAGCCTTGACTCTCCCTTTCCACTTTTCATCGAGAGAAATGAATGCTATCAACTCCCCAGCATCTTGAAAGTCCGGAAGACAAGCACGGGGCAAATGAAAACGCAACCATCTGAACGACGACATCAATAATGGCAGCCATGAGTTCACATGCTTATTGGCAAACAAAAACGACCATAAAGCCACAGGGGCAGTCGCAATCGCCCTTTTGACATATCTGAGTCAATTTGCATGCAAGACATCTGTCGGCCCATCAAGTCCAATCAATGCACAAAGTTCAGCTGTGGTGAAGTGAAATGGTGGAACAGGACGAATGGCATTTTTAGCTAAAGCAGCTACCTGCGCTCTGATTCCATTTTCCCAATGCGCGATATCTTGTTCTGTCGCCCAGGCCCAAGTATGAGCGTTGTATGAATGACGAGACATCACAAGGGCGGAAAACACTGCGCTCTTGGTCGTATCATGCACATTGCGCTTGCAATAGAATTGCCTGCTCAGCTGGCCAAATGCTTTTCGTGCCTGCGACACTCGATATCTAATGTCCTTCATCACCACCGCGTGATCTTGCATGTAGGAACCAAGATGTTTGTACGAATGAACAAGTTGCAGGGTCTGACATCCATTTTCCGTAACTATGGGCAAACGCCCTCCATGCTCATGCCAAATTTTGTGCTTCACAGCTTTTGATCCTGGACCGGCCAGTTTAATCAATGCCTCAGTCTTTCCCGCATTGTAGTTGATTGTGAGACCTCTTGAGGCCGCAGCATCATGTAGGCATGACGATATGATTTGCAAAGAGAGAATTACATCATCAGGTGCAGTTGAATGCATTGCATAAGCTATGTCATCCACGAATGTGACCTCAGCAAAACCTCTTGCCGGGACGGGTTCTGGCCTAGACAAATCTGCTGTTTGTTTGGGACTTCCAAAGCAGCACAAATCTGTGGACGTCTGAATCCTAGAGCGAGCATCCAGCACAACCAGCCTGAACACCATGTTGAACAAAATGTCTGCTACGGGGTCCCCTGGTCTTGTACCCCTCATCGTGGCAGTTTTCCCCGATAAGCCTTGCATGGAAAAATGGGTTCCCGAAAACATATCTTTGAGGATACCTTGGTGATGGGAGCCCAATCCAGTCGTGGCATCATCAGCAACAATTGATCTTTTGATTTCGTGCCACTCATCAGGAGTAATGCCAAGTTGTTTCATGGCGTAGCAGATCGCATCATCGTGAAAGTTCCCTTCAAAAAAGGAAGACCTCAACACGGAATAAAAGGCAGATTGCAAGTCCACAAATAATATTGCACAAGAGACATTGGCATCTCTGGCCCATGCCAAGTGCGCATGCAGAAAATGATGTGCAACATCCGTGGAACATCCCTTTCTTCCTCCCAATTGAATCAATGAGTCATCTTTGTTCCAAACATCTGCCAGGCTCTGCCGCATGTTGGCATGATGTATTTTGGCGCAGATGTCTGAGAGGAAAATAGATCTGTAAGCGGACGGTTCAGATGGTGAGCCTTTACCCTTAAAAAGGGGGACCAATAGTCCACCTTTCCAACTAAGTGGTTCTTTGATGTGCCAAGTGGCCTTGATCAGCATTGGTGCAAGAAGTTTGGCCATAGCATATCCACCACTTTTGATGATATCGACCGGCAGTTGCCCGGGGCCTGGCACCTTGCCATTTTTGAAACGCCGGATCAGGGCCAGAATCTGACACGGATCAGGGCAGTTGTCGGGCTCACGCACACTGTCAGTGTTGCACGTAGCATGAAGCTGCGCGATTTGCATGTCTGAGGCTGCAATTCCAGCTTCAATGATTGCAAACTGTTTCTTCCAAACTTCTTGACATTCTTCAAAGGTATTGGCAAAACAGTCCTCGGACACCTTGAGCCTGGGTAGTGGCCTTGGTTCTTTGCTCATGTCTTTTTTCCTGCGGCCCAATCTCTGTAACCGTTTGTAGACATAAGCAGTATCATGTCGTGCCCAGTCTTCATTGATGGAATCAAGCCAGTCCGCATACCAGTCTTTCTGATCTGCCAAGACCATTGCTCGCACATTTTTTTCAATCACTTTG